GCCCACCTCCTATCATACCGTATAGACCGACGTCTATATACCTTGACGAATAAAAAAAAACCGCCGCACGTGTAGAGGAAAAAAGTCAGCTACACGATCTTCTCGCCCGCCCGACGTTCACGCACGTCGATCACGCCCAGTTTCTAACTGTGCGATCGCCGCCGACTGAACCCCATCCGACACCGCATCTGAACGTCGCCGCGGATCCGTCCCGCGTCGACCTACGCCGGCGACGTCTACACCGCGGCCCTCGTCTTCCACGTCGCCGCCGTCTTCCATCTAACTCTCGTCTTGCACGTCGCCGTCGGACGGCTTGTCGGCTGCGACTGACCGCGCTGTCGTCCGCACGCCGCGGATTCGGCCCTGCGTCGACCTACGTCGGCGACGTCTACACCGCGGCCCTCGTCTTCCACGTTGCTGCCGTCTTCCATCTAACCCTCGTGTTGCACGTCGCCGCTGTCTACTCCGCGGCCGAAGGTTTGCCATCTAATCTCCTCGTCTAAACCTAGCATGCTAAATGATATGAGTCACACATAATGATCTAGGGTTTATGGTTGAGTAAACATGCCGTCGGCGACGCCTCCCGGGACGACCGCATGTTGTAGGCAGATAGAGTTGCAGTTGGGCATGATCCACAGTACAAACTTAACACGTGATGAATTCACAATGTTATGCAGTTTGGTCAGTTAGGCGTGTTGCCATGGATGAACAAACCGCATTGACCGGGAATGATAATGGTACTAATAAGGCGACTCGGAATGATAACGATATTTTTAATGAAGATGATGACAGCAGCGACAATGATTCCGTGTCGTCATTTGATATCTTGCCTCCGGAGGATTTTGATCATAATGAACATGGCGCAAGTAGTGAAAACGTAAGTGCCGTATATTTTGATTTCATCTTTGAACCTGCAATGTATGGCATGGCTAACTATTTCTCTATGTATACAAATTTGCAGGAAGATGTGGATATTGACAATGTGGAAAATAGTTTACAGGAATCATTCGCGGATAACTTGAGCCAGGTTCGTAGATAGATGTTGTACATCGATGAATATTATGAATTAAATGATAGTAGTTAACATATACATTTTCATATGAATTTTGTAGGAGTCGGATGGTATTAGCGGTGATCACAATGAGGGGGAGATCGACATTGAGGAGGCTCGAAGGTGATGGCTATGACCTTTCGGTCGCAAGGTGATGCATACATATTCTATAACAATCACGCCAAAGAGAACGGGTTTAGCATCAGAAAACAGAAAGTCAAACGAGGTGCTTCAGGAATGACACGGTACCGGAGATTTCTTTGCTCCAGGGCAGGTAGAAGGCAGAGCAAGTTTATAACCATGGAGGGCCGCAAGCGCAGGCTTAGACCGGAGACTCGTTGCGATTGCGGTGCACATATGGTGGTGAAGCTGGACAGAGAACGTGGTGTTTGGTTTGTCGCGTCATTCGTGGATGATCACAACCACGCGATGGCTAGGCCCGACGAGGTTTGTTTTCTGTGGTCTCACAGACGGATTGGAGAAGGCACGAGGGCAGAGATATTGGTGTTGGAAGATGCCGGGATAAGAAAGCATATAATAATGGACAACTTTATCAGCAGATACGGTTCGTACGATAAGTGCGGGCTTATCAGGAGGGATATTTACAATCTTTGTTGCAGAGAAAAAATGAAGCTCATAGCAAAAGGTGACGCAGAGACGGCAGTTGGCATTATGAGGAGCAGGAAGGAGAAGGACCCTGAGTTTTTTTTTGAGTATGTGCGTGACAAGGAAGGGCGACTGAAGAGTATGTTTTGGTGTGATGCACAGTCGCGGAGGGACTATCAGGACTACAGAGATGTGGTTGTGTTTGATAGCACGTATAAGATGAACAGATATGGTATGTCGTTCGTCCCCTTTGTCGGAGTTAACAACCACCGTTGCACCACAGTGTTTGGATGTGCCATAATTGCTGACGAGACGGAAGGGATATATGTGTGGCTGCTGCAGACATTTATGAAGGCAAACTGCCAGGTGAAGCCAAAGTCAATAATCACAGATGGTGACGCTGCAATGATCCGGGCTATTCGGACTGTGCTTTCAGATGTTTTCCATCGTCTTTGCTCCTGGCATATCGAGAAAAATATGCAGAGGCACCTGCATTACAAGTCACTGGATGAGTTCAGATTGCTCCTATACTATGCCACCTCTCAAGCGAACTTTGAGCAGAGATAGACCGCTTTCTATAATAAGTGGAAGACGGATAGAACTAAAGAGTGGCTTGACAGGATGTACAGGAAGAAGAGACTTTGGGCAGCTTCATATCTTTCCGATGGTTTTTTCCTTGGTATGCGAAGTAACCAGAGAAGCGAAAGCCTCAACTCCTGCCTTCACCTACACCTGGACCACGGTATGACAATAGTTGATTTGGTTGTGCATTATGAGAACTGTATAGTTCGCATGCGTGAGAATGAGGCGTACGATGGCTGTGAAGCACACCAAAAAGAACCACGTCGGTTACTGAATATAAGGCACTTGAGGAGCATGCCGCCAAAGTATTCACACCTGCTAATTTTTACATCCTGCAAGATGATTTGCACAAGATGGGTCAGCTGGAGATATTTGAGACGCTCGTGGGAATTGAGCGTCAGACATATATGGTGACATGGAAGGATAACCACAAGTTCATGTATAATGTTGTTTATGAACCAGGTAACTCAGAAGAAACTATAACATGCAGTTGTCTTAGGATGGTTCGGAAAGGCCTGCCATGCAAACACATTATTTTTGTTCTCCATCATCTGAACATAATTGAAATACCAAAATGTTGTGTCCTTCATCGGTTGTCAAAAAATGCGAGAGATGGATTGCCTGTGCAGCGGAAGAGTGATATGTTTGGATGGGGTTGGTCAGGGCCATTAGAGAGAGACCGGTATAGTCAAATAAGCATAAAAACCGCAGAGGCAGCTCATGTTGCAGCAAATGATCCCTTCTTGTTTGACGAGTTGATGAAGTGTCTAGACAACATAATAGCGCAGAAAAAGATACCAGAGGAGGAACTTATAGGAAGTAGAAGGTATGCTAAGCTTAAGAAGGAGGCAAGTCAAGTGCAACAAGTTGAGCCTGGTATTGGTGATCCTGAGAAAGTTTCGACGAAGGGTGCACCTAAGAAGGGGCGGTCAAAGGGGGGCCCCGATGTTACAAAGAATGGTAGGCCAAAAGATTTTACAGAAAAAGTGGTCCTTTGTGCAGTCTGTGTAGTCTACTAGGTCATAACAAGGCTACATGTCGAAAAAACCAGAAGTAAGATGCTACCTTATTATTTTTTGTTATGTTGGTACTTCGGTTTTACAAACTATATTTTCTCACCCATATTTTTATGTTATGTTCAGGAATTGGGCGTAGAGAAGCATCTTGCTATGTTGGAAGAATAAAAACGGTCGCATGAGTCTAGTCCGAATAAACTATGTTGTTTCTTGTTCGTGCTTGTGTGGGAGAAAACTTTATGACTCGATTTATTTATGTGTGATGAAAATACTTATGTGAACATATGTGATATGACACATCATATTTGTTTAATGAATTGCCATCTTATTTGTACTGCTATGTGAAAGAGTTCACAGTTTTAATATGATGCGTGTTTGTTACTGTACCTGTTGCAAAAAACATGGCCGACCGTCGTTGTGCAAAAAAACATAGCCAACCGTTGTTGTGCAAAAAAATGCCCGACCGGCTGCTGGACCGCAAGTTGGGCTATATTCCCAACCCAAATCAAGCCAACGAGGCGACTCGGGAGGTCCATATAAAGCCCATCAAGGGCCCAGCAGCCGGGTCCAATGGGGCGGCGATTTCAAGCAGTACTAGCAGAGGAGTTCGACCTGTGTAGCACGCCGGCATATTTAAGATGGTCCTCACCCCTGTCAGTTTCCGAGGTGGGACTAAACTCCTTCGTCGGGCGCGCGAGACGACGATGACTGGGCCGGGGAGGGGCGAGGCTGGCCCTGTCGTACTGGGCCGACATGGGCCGGGCGGTGACGTTGCAAGAAATGGAGCCTCGTTAGCGTTGCGTCGACCGCATCGCCTTATTTAATCCCACCTCGCCAACGGAAGGGCGCACCGACCGGCTTAAATAGCCGCGCCGGCTGCTTCTCTCGAACTCCTCTGTTACAAGCTCCTTGTCAGCCCCATTGGCCTACTTGTGGGCCCTTGTGGGGTCCGCATCGACCGCCCGAGTCGCCTGTCGGCTAGATTTTGGTTGGATGCACAGTCCCTGGGTCCACAAGGGAAGGTCGGGCTGTTTTTTTTTCTAGTCAAATTTTTTTTAGCAAACGAGGAGGCGTCCGCCTGCATTTATATGTGCATCTAAGAACCAACAAACGGCGGCTAGCATTATCATCACATAATAATATTGCACATAAAGCTAGCCGTCTGCCTCCATTTATATGAAACTCTACGAGCCAGCAGACGGCGGCATCATCATCACATAAGCATATAGCACATAGCAGCTTAACATATATAGTTGGAAAATAAATATTGTAGCTAGTACCGACGACGGCACCTTTATTTAGTTGCGGACGTGCATAATCATGCCCATTACAATAAGAAA